GTTCTGAAGGCAAAAGGGGGTCCAACCCGTTACTAGCGTGGTGTACCCAATAAAGTGGCCGGTGAGTGTATAGTGCCTTTCTATCTGAACAGGACACTCAAAGCTCTTTACACTACAATCTGTGCCCTCATTGACCCATTCACACAGTACTTTATGTTTTTCTACAAGTGACTTGGACCCCCAGGGTGGGAGTTGGACTCTGACAGCGCTGCCTGAGCATGTTTGATTGGTCTGGGAACACCTTGGAATCCTCCCAGAAGAGCTGGCTGGGGAAAGAGAGGTCTGGACTTCCCTGATCAAGCTGCGGACCCCAAGACCTGACTCTGCATGAAACAAATGATGGATGGATCTTGCTGCTACTTTAACTCATTTTGTTGGAAACATCGCATCACACAAAGAACTCTAAATTCAGCATTTGAAGCCAACTCCAGGAGAAACTCTTCTTCACTTTTCAGTTTTCACTCAAATACTCACATCAGAGGCAGTGGAAACGGTTAGAAAACCACTTCACTGAGATAATGACCTAAACAACACAACCAGCTCACTCTGGATCAGGGCCTCATGTATGAACGGTTTGCACACATGACAAGGTTGTGTTCTTCAGGATCCATGCATGTTGGGATGTATGAAAAGAAATGTAAAAAAAAACAGACTGATGGTTGAAACCATCCAATGATCTGCTGAGAACACAAGATCCCAGAAACACAAAGAAAATAGAAAATGAATAAAACTAAACTTAAAAAAACCGCTGAAGTAAACAAATTAAAACGGTTTTGTTCACAATATATTTACTTATCATATAAAGTGTGTGTTGGAGGATTTTAAACAATAAAAAAGGACATTAAAGATTTTAAAGTGTTCCATGGAGATGGAAAATACAGAACATTACAGATTTAGTAACATCCAAGTTTTAGTAAAGATGAATCAATCTGTACTAGAAGGTAAATATAGAAACCATTTAAATGTTTGTTAGATTAAAATAAAACTCCTAATAGATTGAGACTCTTTATTTTTTTTAAATGTATTATTTTTATGACTTCTTGTATATATACAGTGTATACAGTGTATATATATATATAAATAAATATATAAAACCAACCTGACAGAAGAGCTAAATCAGTTTACAGACACAAACATCTGGTTCTGAAGGCAGCCATGTTGGATTCAGAGTTTGGGCTGGAGCTAAATCGGTTTCTGAGGATTTCTCAGTTTTTACAACTCAAATTTAACTTCCTGGTTTTTAGTTTAAAGATTCTTGGGGAGATTTTAGAAAGTTGAAAAATAATTTCACAGAAAATCTGAGATTCAAATAAACAGTTTTTATTTTCAAACATTTCAACCAAACAAAAGGCTGCAGATTTAAAACAATGACTCTTTACTTTTAATGATTATGTGTGACAGATAAACTGAAACCTTTAGTTTCATAAACATTTATAAAACAAATAGCTTAAATATCACGTTGACAACAAAGAAGGTCCTAACTTCTTTTTTTAACCAAGAGGAGAAAAGATCCCTCAGTACGTCTAAATGTCCCCAAACTTCCTGCCAGAACCCCACCTGAGTGGATTCTTTGGTTCAGAGTACCACCCACAGAACCCACCTCTTTGTACCAACAGAACAATAATCAGTAACAATCATCAGTCGTTTTTTTTAAATGAGTGAAATAAAACTGTGTTCTGAGGTCGAAGAGATTCAGATGACAAAAAGATCCACACAGAGTCCAGTACCTGTCAGAAACCGGGCCCCTCTTACTGTTTGGGCCTGAAAAAGAAAATAACAATCAGAACTCAAATGCACAAGAAAACTAAACCTTTCTAAATCATTTCTGTACAATATTTAAATATTATTTTAGATATTTTATGTACAGTAACGTTCCTCTCGACTCCATTCTAAATATTAAAGCAGCTCCAAAGAATCAAACCCAGAACCAGGAAATAAACTGGAACGTGTCTCTCGTTGTTCCAAAGTGGAATATTTTGGTTTGTGATAATTTCAAAGTGTAAACTGAATGAACTGATGTTGCATGTGTGCAAAAAAACAAAAACAAAACAAAAAAATCCCAAAACAAAACAAACAAACAAACAAAAAAAGATTAACTGATCAGAACTGATCTATAAATAAATTATTTCCTGCTGCAGTCAAAGAATAAACTGAACATTTTATATTAAAACCATCAGAACCACACAGAAGAAAACTAAAAGAGGAGGAATAATCTGTTTGTCTCACAGATTTAAAATAAAAGATAAAAACAAGGTTATTCTGAGAAAAAATGATGAATCTAAACGTCACATGCTTAAATAGTGACTTTATATTAATTGTAATTACCGTATTTTTCGGACTATATCGGCATGGTTCAAAGTTCAGGAATAAAGTCGCGGCTTATAGTCTGAAAAATACGTTAACTGTGTGTGTGAAAAGTTAGAGGAAGTTCTGACAGTGCGTCTGCTGTGAGATGACCTGGTTCAAACAAACCTTTCATTCATTTAAACATAACCTAGAAAACTAAAGAACTCCTCATCCGGATAAAAAGAGGAGCTGCAGACTTGCAGATCAGTGAGCCTCACGATTTAGATTTTGTGTGACCCTGATTCTCTGCGGACCTTCAACCACTTCCTCTCTGAGCTGCAACTGATGGCAGTGATGTGTCAAGAGTTTTCTACAGGAAGTGTCCGAATGTTTCCAAGGATTCTTTATCTCCTCGCACTGTAACGCTGAACCAGTTTAAACTATTTGCTCTCAAACTATTTTTAGAATCATTGAGAAGCGTCTTGACTCGGTCTCACTTTGGTTACAGCTTTGTTTTGGGTCAACATCTATTGAAACATTTGACATTTGACATTTGACTTTGTGTGTTTTGGTGTTGGTCCGGTCAGATCCAGGCTTTAGCTGAAGAAGCAGACTGAGCAGAGGGTTCTGCTTCGTTGAGTCCAACAGGTAAAGCTGCTGTCATCGGACACAAACTTGAAATAAATAAAGATGAGAATAAAGTGACAGAAGCGAAATCTCAGATTCCACATGAGGTTTGTTGTAAACAAAGCAGTCAGGACCCTCCCTGTTCAGAAAGACCACCAGAGTGGACCCTCTTCTTGTAGACCAGGAGTGGACAGCTGGTTCTCAAAATAAGGTGCTCCAAACGGCTTCCTCTGATCTCTGATCCTATAGGTTCTACCTCAAGAACTACCTTTTAGGATTGTCTTGCAGTTTTTACAGATTGTAACTATATTTCTCTTGTACCACGAGGTTCATCAGGTCTGAGCCACAGGGTCTGGGTCCGTCCAGACAAACATGGGGACATGCTTCACAAGAAATCCCAGCTAAAGTGGGTTTTGGCTGCAAATGGTTTCAGTGGCTCCTTGTACAGGTTGGGACTGGGGTTCAGTGCGAGAATGAGGATGGAGCTGACACTGAGCCACACAGGTAGTCACAGAGCTGAGCTGGTGAGTATGTGTGAAGCAGGGGGCGGAGCCTGCAGTGTTGGCTCGATTGATGAACGACTAAAGGTGACCTGAACATAAAGTCATGTAACAAAGAGTTTTCTCCTGCTGAAAAATGAGCTTTCCTATTTAAATATCAACACAAAATGTTCGACAAACTCGATCTGTAGCAGAAAATTAACAGAACATTGACACCCATGTATGTAAGCAACAAACAACAGGAGCTGAGGCTTTTCCTAAAACAGCTTCTGATTAAAAACGCTTTCAAAGAAACTAAAGGCAGCATTTGGCACATATAATTTACAAACTTCTAAAACAGTCTTTGTCTCAAACTCAGCAGCGGTTTTGCAGGATTTCCTATCATCCATGGTGTCCAGGTCAGAAYCAGTAAACCCTGGACAGACTGAAGAAGAAGAAGTGATGTTTTGGACAGATGAGATAAAAAGACCTTCCTTAAATCTGTTCCTGAAGTCTTTGCTTCAACTGAAACGAGTCTGTCTCCCTGCAGAGACAAAATGTCTTCAACAGGAACAGCTGCTGGACAAAGTGAGGACATGTCCTGCTTCAGACGAGACCAGCGTCCTTGGCCATCTTATAAAACGTTCCCTTCTGAGCGATGAGGCTGGAGGGACTGTCGAACTCTGCTAGCTGTCCTTTCTCCAACACCAGAACCCTGAAAGAGACACAGCATCATGAGAGCAGAACCAGATGTGCWGCTTGAGTCCAGAATCAGTTCTTCAGTTCATTCAGGAAAAACTGCATTTTTATCTTTTACACAAGAAAATCCTTTCGTTGTGTTTTACAGATGAACTACACAACATCCTCTAACTCAGGGGTGTCAAACTCATTTTCACTGAGGGCCACATGAGTGTTATGGTGGCCCTCGAAGGGCCAGTTGTAGTTAACTTTGACGTTTCATGTTTAACTTTAAACAGTGTTTAGTCAAAACAGACATGTCCATTTTTAAACACTGATAAGAACTAAGTGTACGACTGACTAAATCTGAAATAAATACAGAAATATTATTAAAAGTAAAACAAATAAAGTTTTACTCACTGATGAGTTTATAGTGAGGAGCTAACATGCATTATGGCAGATTTAGTTTATGTTTGATGCGGACTTTAAAGCAGCTTATTTTCAGACATTAATTCTGTGCTATCCAACTAAATTGCTCAGTTACTTAAAGCCAACAGCTCAGGGGCAGGACACTTGTTATTATCTTTCACCTTTTACATTTATTTTGTTGCATTTAATCATAAATTTTAAGTTTACCACTGATATATGAAACAATTTTCATG